CGGCACAGATGGACTAAGACGAACTCGAATCTACTTCCAAAATCAGCCAGTGAAAACAGTTTGTATCCCAACCACCTGATCCACAACGGATGAGGAAAGTAGTACAGGACCAAGTGGTGCTTTGCTCTGTGGTGGATGAGGATGTCCTGAATCAAGGACCAACTTGATGACAGGGAACAAAAATACTCCAGATATAGATCTAAATCAGGTGACAACCCAAAAATATCAACAGATAAACCAAAACAAAATTGTACTCTCTCTAGGCAAACAACCCGATGGAAGCTGCATAATAACTGTTGGTCAGCCAAACACCACAGAAAAGCGTGGCCCTCATCCACAAGTACAACAGCAAAGTCTGAGTAGGAAGCCTAGACTTCCAACCAAAACAGGCTATAATGAGGTACTCCAACTGAGTCTAGCATGAGGGGGGTTGGGGGTGGGAGAAGGGAATTGGTGTAGGCTAGGTAAGAAGCCTTGACTTCCATCTCCACAGGCAGCGTGCCAAGGATGTAATTGGACATAGAAAACAATAAGAAGTTATTTCTACCCCATACATCCAGGGACGTATCAGCATCGACCTAGTAGGGAGTTAGACTCCCAACACTCCCCTTTAACAGTAAAAAGGAGTGCATCTTTCTCAGGCATCAATGGGGGCTATGTGGTGGACCTGAGCTTCTGTTTTCAGCTGGCAGTGGCATGGTGACTTCTTCCCCTCCTGAAGTGACTTCCTAGAAAGCCAGTTAACACAGAATCCAGTTCCTAGAAGATGTAGAGCCTGACAACATATACCTGAAATGTTCAGGTTTCTATCAACAAATCACCCATAATATCAAAGCCCAAGAAAATATCAAACTTAACTAGAAAGGCAATCAACAAATGTCAGCATTAAAATGACAGAGATATTAGAATGATATAACAAATATTTTGAAGCAGCAATCATAAATATGCTTCAATGAAGAATGATGAACACTTGAAACAAAAACATGTAAAGCTTCAGCAAAGAAATATTATAATAATCGAATGGAATTGGGGGAATAGAGAAAAAGAATCAATGCATTGAATAATAAAACAATGTAAGTTACCCAATCTGGAAAAATTTGTACCAAAGAGACATCAGACAAAGGGCTAATTACCAAAATACACAACACTCTACAAAAGCTCCACAAGAAAATAACAAGAGGCCCAATTAAGAATTGGGTAAAAGACATGAACAGACAGTACACCAAAAATGAAGTACAAATGGCTAGCAAACACATGAAAAAATGCTCTTGATCACTAACCATAAGGGAGATGCAAATTAAAACCACAATGAGATACCACTTTACATCCACAATGCTAGCCCTTCCCCTCAAAAGACCAACCAAACAGAAACAACAAATGTTGAAGAGGATGAGGAAAGATTATGACTTGTATACACTGTTGGTAGACTTGTAAGTATCTACAGCCACGGCGGAAAACTATATGGCAATACTTAAACCAACTGGGAATTGAAATCCCATCAGATCCAGCAAAACCACTATTAGATATATACTCAAAAAAAATAAGAGACACAACAGGAGTGGAGGTATGTTCTCCCATGTTCATAGCAGCACATTTCACAATAGCAGGAAACTGGAAGCAGCTCAAATGCCCAACAGTGGAAGAATGGATAAAGAAACTATGGTGCATACACACAGTGGAATACTATGCATCTCTTAACACAGTGATGCAAGCATGACATGGAAGGGCCTGGAAACCATTATGCTGAGTAGAGCAAGCCAGTCACAAAAGGACAAGTATTGTATGAGTCCACTAGTATAAGAAGAGACACCAATCAAGCATATATTGAAAACCAATTCTTGAACAAAAGGAGAGAAGGCTATCTACTGGCCATGAGCCATCATCACCTCCCTTTAGGAGGAGACCTCACATTGCCTGGGGTCATTCCTTCAAGAGTTGGGGAAATGGAAGGTGACCATGCACTTGAGGCTATAGGACATCCACACAAGGCTGGGGCAAATCAATGGGCCCTCCACCAGAATGGAAAGAGAATCTTGCCAGAAAAATCCAGGTAAGACTAGTGGAGGGGACCATCCACATTTTGGAGAAGATGCTGATAGTTCTGGGTGGGTGTAACAGGTGATTGGGGGAAAGTAGTCTTACATTGGTAAGGGATGCTAAGCAATGATTGTGGGAAATCTAGGGTGACAATGAGCCAGAATTTATGTTCCTGGGTAGACATTATGAATTTCTATCCAACCTTCAGTGAACCACGCCATAGACTAAGCACCATGATGATTGTGGAAGCTAACTTTGCAGGCAGCATGGTATAACACAGGCTAAAACAGAAGGAACTTACCATAGTCGCCAGACTGAATGAACTGAACCCTAACTCAAAGTTGCCTGCACCCTTAGATTGAGGAAGCAGAAATTGGCTGACCCGGGACTGTGGCAGTGTTGGTCATTGAATCTTAGGGGGACCCCCAGCTTGTTGGGTGTCCAATGGGTAGGGACCCAGAATCACCTCGCAGTGATATGACAGGTTTCTATCGGCTAGCCAGGGCACAAGTTCCCCCTGGCACAAATCGCCATACTTTGGGTAAATAGAGCTCAATCCAATGGGAGGTCGAACTGTGTAGAGCAACAACTCACGGGCTTCGGCTCAAGGTGGAAATGTACTGGCAGAGGCTCTTCATACCGACAGTATCCAGGGTGCTATGTCACTGGGAAAATTGACAATGTTATAGGTGCCGTATACCCCAGGGGGATGATGGACAATGTTGCACTTTTCTGTTTCCACGAGTTTTTGTTTTTCTGCTTTCACATGTTTTGTTTTCCTGTTTGTTTGTTTGCTGGTTTGCTTGTTGCTGTTATTGGTGGAGTTGGTCTTATGGGGTTTTGACGTTGTCACATTATGGCCACGAAGCAAACCTGAATTGTGCACATCACATGGACATGGAGACGGATTCTGGGCTCCTCGACTCTAGCCCTAATCCCCAGTTACCCTGATCACATGGCCCTGCTCAATACTCGCCTTCATGAAAGGCTCACTGAAGATCAGGGTGCTAGAGCGTAGTGTAGCGAAGAAAGCAGATGGTGCTCAGCTATGTGTCGGAAGAGTGTGTGGTCTTAAAAGCTTACACTCAAACCGTCTTCCAAGCCAAGCGAGGTATCAACTAAGTCCACACAGAAGAAGCACACGAGCTGGTATGATCCAAAGATGACAATGTCAAATAATCAAATATGATGAACGAACAAGTATCAGAACTAAAATTATGAGCACCCAATTGATAGAAGGCTGTGTTGGACAGTAAGAGCCCCAAACCCATCTATACAGTAACTAGTCAGATTAAATCGCTGGCTGCTGGCAGACCCCTACCAGCCACAGCCAAGGGTCTTGAACAGCCTTATTATCAGACAGAGATCATTGTAATCTTGATTATACTGGATCGAACTTGATACTTGGTCCATTGACCTCCCTACTGACCCAACATGGATTTGTTCTAGGTACAAGTATCTCTTGAGTGTGACAAAAATTTCTTCCCTGGCTTTTAAAATATTGAGGATGCTCTTTCCTTTCTTACTCATTATGTATTTTTATCTTTATATCATCATTATTATTTTATCCATATCACTTTATTTCAATTTTGTTTTTTATGGTTTCTGTTGGATTTCCCAGTTTGCCAAGTACAGAAGGAGTGGATGCCTAGAGGTAATAACTGATGCAAGGGTTTATAGGGGAGGTCGGGGTGGGAGATACAGAGGTTGAGAGAATTAGGGGAATAAACAAGGGAGGGAAGAGGGGGCAGGGAGCACTAGACCTGATTGTGATTATACAATTCATTTTAAAGGCAATTTACCACAAGGGTTTTGGGGGATATGTTCTAAAATGGATCGTGATAATGATTGTACAATCCTTCTTGTTATGATTTAACAATTGAACATTGAATTGTATATGTGGATTAAGTGCCAATAAAACTGTAAAAAACTAACCAATCTGAAGAACAGAGAAAATAAAACTTCGAAAAACAGACCCTCAGGAGCATGTAGGATTATAACCAAAAATTTAATGTTTCCTTCATCAGGGACCCAGGAACAAAAAAGAGAAGAATGAAGTAGGTAGGGCTAAAAATTACCTGAAAAATAATTGGTGAAATTATCCTAAATTTGGCAAAAGAAATAAGCCTACAGACACACGACAGTGAATAAACCCTAAATAGTATAAACAAAAAAGAATTCACATTGAAGTCAAACTTTTGAAAATTGAAACTCACTGTCATTGAGTCTATTCTAGTTCATAGCCACCCTAGAGGACCGGGTAGCGTTACCCTCGTTGGGTTTCCCAGGCTGTTAATCTTTACAGGAAAGGAACGCCGTATCTTCTTCCCACAGAGCAGCCCGTGGTTTTGAGCTGCAGACCCTGCACTTAGCAGCCCGATGCATAATCTACTACACCACCAGGATGCATAAAAGGAAAAAAAGATCATATGACCATACCTATTGACACAGAAGCAGTTAAATGGACAGAATTCAGCACCATAAAAATTCTGAGAAAAATAGCAACAGAAGGGAACTTTCTTAACTTGATAAATAACTCCTACATAGAATCTACAGCTCGCATTATACTGATACAAGTGGGATCACAGAGGATGTATGGACAGTATCCAGTCTTTTGCATAATATCATTGAAATTCAAAAGCTGTAGAACCAGAGAACAGATCCGCAGTTTCCAGAAGCGAGGTGATGGAGGGAAAAGATTTTTGACCACAAAAGGGCCGCACGAGGGACCGTGATGGTGATGGAAATGTCCTGCCCCGTGGCAGCATCAGTGCCGACAGCCTAGCTGGGCTATTGTCCTGCCGATTTCAAGACGCTCCCATGGGAGAGCCCGGAGTAAAAGATCCACACGTGCTCTCACTTATTTCTGACCACTGCAGGTGAATCGACCAGTATTTCCAAAGTAAGTTTAACGTTCTAAAAAGAAAGACATGCGTATATATTTCTGAATTGATATTTCTCACCTCCTCACAGCCCACGCAGCTCAGTAAAGCAGTGTAGTTATTCAATTCAGCTCTCCCAGAGAGGACTCGCCTCCTCTCAGCTGCTTCCCTGAGCAATGAGCTGGAGGAAAGCGGTGGAGGGTTACACAGAACACTTTTCAAAATCCAGGAGTCTATTCTAACTATTCTTGGGCATGATGTCTCTCTTTCTCTCTCTGTCTTAATCACAGCACTGACCCACCAGGTTAGTTCCCCCCTTAGGTGACAACCTGTTCAAAAGGAGCCCTGGGGGATTGAAACTTAATCGTTGGACTGACACGGTTCTAGATCATAAGAGCAATGAACTCTTGGTTGAATACACTGCTCACCGAGTCCTTGTATAATAGCCCATGTCGGCAAAGTGGGGGACATAATGTGTCGAAGTTTTGCAAAATTTCCCTTGTCCCTCTTCCACCCAGCTCTTCTGGTTAAAAGGTGTAGGTATGAACAGGTGGGATCATAGCTACTGGAGCAGACAAAGACTCTGTGGAGGTGAAGGGGAAACCGCATCCTTGGGCGGCACCCTGAAACACCTTAGCTACTGGGAGTTGTGGAGGAGAGAAGGACAGCAATGGTATTTTGTACTTCCAAAGCACCCCGTGAGAGAAACGATTTAAAGAGCTCTACCAAACTGTTGCAAGTACATTATATTGAACTGACTGCTGGATTTACAGCCCCTGTGACTGTAACCACGATTTGATAGCCATTCCCTTTTACCTGCCTAAGAAGTCTATTGGGACAAGCAAAAATGGTTTCAACTCCCCTTTCTCAAAAGTAAGCCTCTGACAACACCTGTGAAGGTCTCTTGCCTCCTGTTCTGTCATTTTGTGAAGTGAATAAATGCCACGTCACCAGTGTACTGGACAGGAAGGACACCTTGTTCTTGCCTCAAGTATTCTAACTTATCTGAGAACCAACCCTAAGGCTTACCAGAGGGCCCAGAGACCACATTGCCAGCAAGGCATCCCCTGTCCTTCCCCTACGCTGATGCAGCATCCCTGGAGAAACTAAATAGTTGTAAACAACATTCTTCTTTCCAAGGAGACCCAGGTGCATCTCAGGATTATAATTCTTAAAGGTAAACCAAGAATTACAAACCTTCCTCCCCAAATCTTGGTGCCTCATACCTTAAGAGTGTTTATAAGAGACCACCACATGTTTAAACAGCACTAGCAGATATCTCAGAACTGGCACAATCTTCCTTACTTGGGTTAGCGTCCCGGAGGGTAACTGATTACTTATTCACACCTTGTCAGCAGTTTTCCATACAAGAGGGGTAATCAATTAGAAAAAGGTGTTGCAAAATGTACTCCTTACATTAGTTCAAGTGACAGATGTCACCATATTGTTTCTCACAGTTATTTACCTCCCTAGCCAAGGGTAGTATGGTAGAGTAATAGAATTGTCCCAATTAGTATGATAAAATTACCTTAGATTTTAGTATTAGAGAATTACCTTAGATTTTTTTCTTTACGTACCAAGTAAGAGTCTATGTACTCCCTAATACATGCTACCACTTCTCGATTAATGCCTTGGGCTAAAGAGGAAACCCAGAAGCAAGAAGAAGTCGACTGCATTTCTAAGGCAGACCTGCTGGGATTTGCTCCGCGGGTGCAGTCTAGGATCATTTGGGGTCAGGAGAGGGTTTGGAATGACTGCTGTCAATACTAGAGGACCCCCTCATCCTGCTGCTTGGAGTCCTGTTGATAGTTTTGAAAAGCCAAACTCACTGCCACGCGGTCCATTCCGACCCATGTCACCCTATAGAACGGTAGAACTGTCCCTATATGACCTTAATTAAATGTGCCGTGAGGCAGATTAAACAGGGTTGGTCAACATGACAAAAAATTGCTTCAAGTGAAGATGGTCTAGAAATAAGGGAGGGGTGTGTTGGGAGACTGTTTCCACGGGTCTTTGAGTTCTGCAATCTCCTAAGCAGAGAAACAGGCAGCTTTTTTAACAGACGGTCACCCCAGGAGCACCTGTAGAGCAAACAGCGTTGGAAGATAGGAGTACTATCTCCTCCAGAAAGCACTTCTTGGGTGCTAATAAAGATAAGATCTATTTCCAGGTCAAAGACTGGTGAGGTTTGCTTGCAAACCTCCTTCTAAAATATTGGTGTTTCCTAAGCTCAGGAGCCACTGCATGTGAGTACTGAAGTGAAACGACTGGGAATGGTTCTTCTAGTCATAGCTTTGTAACACCAACCCAAGGATAGGCTAGATCAGTCAAATAGGATGTGGAACACTACGAAAGGGATATGAATGAGGCATCTCAGAAGAAAGAGAGACCCCCAGGACCATCAGGAAAGTACAGCCAGCTGTGGAGCATGTGTGAGATGCCTGTTTGAAGTGGTGGAGACACCAGAGCATTAAAGGCACCATCCACTGCAGCACCAAACCACGAGACTGTCAGGAGAGCAATACATAGGCTGACCATCCTTGAACATGCTGGGAGGAAGCCCAGGATAGAGGTCCCCATAGCCTTCTGGAGGTGCTAGACCTGGGAGATCGCTGCAGCCAGCAGATCTTAATACCTATTGGGACAATCCCATTGTCAAGCGCATGCATACCCTTCTAACAGCAAGGGTAAAGTTAGCCCCTCCAGATCGATAACCCCAGCTCTCTAGAGAGAGACCCAGCCCCAGTGAGTCAGAAGATGCAGCTTGAAACTGAGGCGTAGTTGGCTCCAGGTAGTTCTTAGACTTATTCTTATGCTATGTGATAAAAAAAAAACCAACATAGGGCCCGTCCCCAGCACACCATATACTGCATACAGAGTACCACCTCCAACTCCACCAAAATGCCACACAGACCACAACCCACAGCAGCGGTCACTATACGAAATCAAGAGAAACCAATCACAATGTCTGTAGAGGACCAGAACCTAGTGACATACATAAAAGAAGCAGACTTGGAACTGTCACAGAAATAAATCAATAAATCTTCAGTAAACAAATGGCCATCTAGCTCAGATGGCTAGTTCAAAGGCTGGAGTGGACTTCTGTTGACATGTTCTCCCCACCCTTCCGTGGGCGGGAGTACAACAAGGTATGGGAAGAAGTACGTGAGCGCTCCAGCATCCCTGACCCAGCTGGCAATGCAGGGCAGGGTGGAAACATGTGAGCAGAAGTGAGGCTTTAAATGTTCTCCCACGTCAGCTGGAGCAAGTGCCATCAGGGATGCAGGACCTGCGTCATTATCCATATAAGGGAAAGGTACGTGCACACACACACACACACACACACACACACAGAGCCCATGCTGACTCGACAGTGAACCCCACTGGGGGTTTTCGAGACTGCAACTGTTTCCCGCATTTGAAAGCCAAGTCTTTCTCCAAAGGAGATGGTGGTAAGCAGTGAAAAATGAGAGTCCCAGGAGGTCCCCACAAACTGCTCCTCTACAAGCACTTGGGAGGTAGTAGACGTTTGGAAGCAAAGGTTTACATGGTCCAAATGGCATTTTGGATTGACTCGATGACAGTGAATGAGATGGCATTTCAGGATGATTGGTTTGGCAAGTATGCACAAAATACATTAAAAGGAAGAAGAGGCTGAAGGCAAAGAAACTGGGTGAGCAGCTATTAGCCAACGCTGGTTTCTGAGACAATGAGTCTGAGTCAGTGTAGGGTTGTAGAAATGGAAAGTCGGGGACAAATGTGGTGCAATCACCTCATTGAATGTGACTGCCAGCCAGTGTGCGTTTAGCATGGCCACTCTTGTGCCACCGTGTCCAATTCATGGTCTGATGTCCACAGGTTTCAGCAGAGCTTCAGACTATGAAGCACGGCCAGGCCTCCTGCATGGAAGGCGAGGACTCCACCGGCGAACCACCACTAATATAGCTCATATTTACAGTTGCCTTTGTGGTGATGTGATGGTGTTGACCTTTTCCTCTTGTCCCACCAGATTATAGCCTTCAAAGAGCCAGTTTCCTTTTCACCACTGAAACCAGCACCAAGAACAAACAGAAAATAAATCTCACTGCCATCGAGTTAATTCTGACTCACATTCGTCCTATAAGACGGTAGAGCGGTCCCTGTGGATAACTCTTTATGGGAATTAAAAGGTTCAGCTTTCTCCTGGAATCCAGCGCAGCACTATAGTATCCATGTTAAAAAAAACAAAAACAAAGAAAGAAGAAACAGGTGAAGTTAATGGCAATATGATTTTTTATTTAAGTAAATATATCTAAAGTATTATCATTTAGATGTATGATTGATTGAAGACTTATTGAGATCATTTGCCCTCGGTTGGTTGTATTAAATCTTTGACTACTCTCTGTGTATGTTACAATTATATCATCTTGCTAGGTAACCAGAATAGTGTCTAAGGGGCAGTTTCTCCACAAATGCCTGCCTCGGGCCAGAATAAAGGGGCTCTAGGGAAATCGGGTACCCATTAAACATCTATGGAAAAATCCAAAAAGAGCATACAGAGTATGCCCACCAAGGTGCAGGTGAAGCTAAACCTGGGCACCCCAACCTTAGCACCAGCAATGTGACATCACACGTGCCCCAACTCAACCAATAAGATCAGCTAATACCGCCAACGATGCCTCCCCAGAGAGTGGGGATAAAAGGAATCTACAGGCAGGCTACCTCTCTCATTCAGGGGTGCTTGACAGGTGGAAGGTGGGAATCTCTCCACAGGCAGGTAAATGCACATGTGCTTTTGGGCCCTGGGGCCGGGGCTAGCTCTCAGGCCTCACCCTTGGCCTCTGGAGATTTGCTGGTTCCGCACACGTGGTTTTGTGCTCCTGTGCCAGTCTTCTTTCCACGTGGTTTGGTCCCCACATGGCTTTGCATGCTTTCCAGAAATAGCATGTGCTTTTTGAGACTGCAATACCTGAAACTTCCCTTTCCTTCATATAAGTCACCTGCATTAGAAATGTGCTTCCGCCACATGAATTCTTTCAGCGTTGCAAAGCAAGAACCAAGGTACCCACTCCAGAAACCTGTCAACTTGGTACTGTGACTCAGATAAAAACCTCTGGGCTCCACCTTTAAGGTAAGCCCAGCTTG